TAGGGTTTAGGTACAGGGGGATTATAATTCTACGGCAACTTCGACTACTGTCATGAAAGGCAAAGAGGGTCAAGTAGGTACGCTGGAGAGAGTGCACGTCCTCGGATTGGGGATGCTTAGGGCTTAGGACGGAAGGGTGACACTGCAAAGACTGTATCTTGGCAAGCTAGTTCTGATCCACCGCCCTTCAGGGTCTCGGGCTTATGGCTTATAGTCCCCTTAAGTGGATAGAATATGGCTTTGGGAATGTTATAATAAGATCCCCATATACCCCATATTCCATCTACCCAAGGGGGACTATAGGATCCTGAGCCCTAAGCAGCTTGCCACATGCATACTACTTTCCCCAAATCACCAAAGCATCCGTTGAGTTTCGAAGGCGATGACGAAGCACCAGTTGCAAGTATGCTGCAGCAATCTTCTTGAAATGCAGACTGGTCCTCTCTAGACGCCAACTTCACAGCTTTGGTGATGTTCATCCATGAAGATCGTACCCCATGTGGCGGCCTTCATCATAGTTGCACAACTTCCTTGAGAAGGGTATACAAACGATCACTTTTGCACTGTGTCACACCACAAAGGTGTTTCGCAGCGGAGGTTCCATTGTACAAGAAAGAAACACACAGTCGACATCACCACCCCCAAGGCCAGACGCCGTTCCCTGTTGTGCCTGAAAGCAGAGTTTGGGCATCTGCGTTGACCCACGGCCTGAGGGGGAGAGAAGAAGGCTAACACGGTCGCTTGGAATCAAGGCGTTAAACAACCTCAGCTAAACTCTTAAGGCAGAGTTGAACTTTCACTGCATAGAGCTCAAATTTCCAAGGCCTGCGCCCTTGATGTATGATGTATGCTGGAAAGCTCACCGCTGATTTACGATTCTCGGCCCCACACCCAGATGACTGTAGCGATTGCGAGGGAATTTTGCTATGGGCACAATCTGCTGCTTTTTTACCAGTTCTGGCTGTACTGCACGGGTCAAGGCATCAAACACAAGTGAGTTGCTTGAATCAACTAAGATTACTACATTCTTCCTGTAAAGTTCCTGCACCCACATGGAGGACACAGGCTTACTCTATTTTAGGGGCTCTAGTATCCCAGATAACATACTCGTCAAGTGAGTGCTCTTGCTTAAGGAGATGCATTGCTGACATACGACAGACAATCCAAAATACTCAGCAAAGCAATGCTAGGTAGGTAGATTCATTCCAGAAAGTGCGCTCTGTGAGAGGGTTTTTAGGGGAACTTTGTGATGCTACCTGGCTACAACCTCGGTGTCCCCTACCTAACGATGTCGAAGCCAGGGAAGATTAACACTCATCAAAATGGCATGGCCAATCGAAAGCACCCCGCCTCCAACCCAAAACCATGACACCCTAAACCCTAAGCCTTGAAACCCCAAACTCGCGCTGGATTTGCGCTTCCGCTACAACTGAGCAATCTCTCCCAAAGCGCGTGCTGTTGATAGATGAAGCCTCGTGCCAGCTAGAAACCCTTACACAGCTTAGGCTTCATTGTTCAGGGAATCTAGGGTTTAGGGTTAGGGTGTTAATCCTAAGGTCTAAGGTAGCTAGAGGATTTCACAGGTCAACAATAGGACAACCAAGAGAAGATAACATTTGCAGATCCAAACTGCTATCACAGACCCCACCTCAAGAAAATGGAGCTAGAATCCCTGAACCAAACATCCTGAACTCCCAGACCCCATAAACTGAAAAACCCTAAACCCTAAACTTAACCCTGGGCCCTAGGCCTGAAACCCGTGACCACTCCCAACCCAATTGTCGGCACAAAAGGTCTCATGGAGCAGGAATCTTACACGCAATGGCTGCCCCAAATTGTAACCGCTGCATGCATCTCACCCCAAGCCCCCCCAAACTCATGAGAATATGCCACTGCCGCATGAAACCCTACAATAAACCCGGAGCCTAAACTTACTGGTTCTTACCAGGGAATGAGGAATATAGTATATAGGGATTATGTCCCTGATTCCCTACTAAGAACCAGTAAGTAAGCGCAAGGCCCGTGCGGAAACTGAACAGGCTCACCCTTCACCCGCTTCTGGATCATGGCCTGGTACAGGGTTTAGGGGTTAGGGTTTAAGCCTCTGGGGTTGAAGGTTTAGGGCTGGCAGTATGTACTATTTAACTGAGATTTCAAGGGGTAATAGACTGTTTCCATTGCATTTTCCATATGAATCTCCAGTGTTGGAGGAAAATACCTAAACCCTAAACCCCATAGATCCCTACATAACCCGTATATAGCAGAACACATGCTCCCAGTGGGCAAACTGTCTTTTAGGAGCTTGAAACTCAAGTGACTGCACAAATCGCAAAAACCCTGCGTAGTATAGTAGAAACACATATGAGCTATAGTCTAGACTCCTGGTATCCCCTTTACTAACCCCTAAAACAGTCTCCTACAGAATCCCTTATACAGCCCCATTTAAGGAGTTTAGATCATAACTCATACAGCAACGGGTAAGCTGATGATTTATATATATATATATTGCAGACTTTGTGCCGGCGAAACTAGAGCTCAAGTTGGGAAGCCTTTCATGGTTCTTGAGTTCTTGCTCCAGGGCTTCTTTGGGGAGTTTGGAGTCCTTGACCCCCGAGCCCTAAACCCTACTTGGAGGCCCATGGGACTTAGTAATTACTTATAACTGGGATTATAACCCTACTTATAATTGGGGTAACCCCTATAAGCCCATTTAGGGGGATTATAAGTACTGGATCTACTGCCCGGCGGTGCCGAAAAATATTAAGGATTCCAAGGGTTTTCAGTGGTTTTCAAGGCAATGGAACATGTTCGGTGTTTTTCATGGCAATGGGTCAATGGAGCTGAACGTGTTCGGGAAGATGTCCAAGCGGGAGTGAATGTGAGCGCTTCTTTTTTCCATCCTGCAAAGCACAAGCCAGCAGCTTCGAAACCACCTGACGGGATGCATGCTTCACATGGCTGACATGCTCATTCGGAACGCTGCAACCAAACAACTGTTCACCAGGCCTCAGCAACGCTGATTTCCATGAGAGCGAATCGGGATATCCACGAAAGTGACGTTGTCCTGCATTGATCTCTCTCTCTAAAGGCTCGCAAGGAAAATTGTTACTCTAATGACTTTATTAAGTTAAGGTATAGCGCAAAAAATCCAATGTAGCCCGATTGACTTGGCCTTCCGCAACATCACCAGTTGACAAGATAAGCTCTATTCCTAATGGCAAGTGTTGCTAACGCAGTGTGGCTACCCTGTCTGAAAGAAAGCAAGCAGAAGCTGGCACATTTTGAACTTCAGCCCTCAAGTCTTCAGACAGACATTGCCTCAGGTCTGGCACTGCATCAGCAGCTCTGCACATATAGTGGTGCCCTTAAGAATTGCTTCTTTCTCTCTCTCTCTCTCTCTCTCTGCTGTGCCACTCAAAATTTGTCACACGATCCTAGTAGATGCTGGACAGCTGTCAGGCTTTGAGCATGTGTTTTTTGCAACAACTACGTACCAAGCAGCCTGTGTTGTGGTTTTCATAGTTTTCGTAAACGATTGGAATCAGATCCAAGTCTGCCAGCTGTCTTTGCATGCGCGGCCCCTTACCTGCCACCAGCTGCAGTCGCTGGCAACGCACAGAACCTACATGACCCTG